TCTCCCTCTTCAGACTTCCTTACATGCTAAAGCATCAACTAACTCGGACAATTTGTCTGGATGGGCGTGGCAATATTCTAATGAGACATGATTGACATATTTCTGTCCCAGGCTGCTATCTCACTCAATCAGAATTAAATGCAAGGACACAAGCACGACTGTTCTACAATACATATTCCAAATAACCAGATTCATTATGGGATTATCATATTTGGGATTATCATGGGATTATCATGGGATTATCATATTTAGTTATGCACGATACAGTATGTTTGCTTTTGCTTGCTATTTTGTTTGCGAGTTTTCTTTTGTGCAAACTTTGCTTATACTTGCTAGGTTAGCTTTGCTTTTGCGAACTAGGTTACATTTCACTTGCTAGCTTTTTCGCAGTAGGTTAATATTTGCTCACTAATTAGTTTCCACAAGCCGAGTATGCTTTCACTGACTAATTTGCTTTTGCTAGTTAGCCTTGTCCCAAATGACAAGTACTTAGCTTTCATTCATAGATTTAACTTTTGCTCATCAGGTTAGCTTTTGCTTGATATTTCACTTTAACTCTCTAGTTTGCTATTGTTATCATTTGCTTACTAGTTTAGTATTCCGTCACTAGTTGGCTTTCACTCGCTAAGTGAGTTTTTGCTCACCAGTTTGTTTTTGTTTTGTACATTTACAGCATTTAGCAGAGGCTCTTACCCAGAGCGACTTAGAAAAGTGCTTTTTCATCTCTATAGAAAACATATCTTCACTCTAATACGCCAATGCTCTCTGGGTAATTTGGGTTGTGTAGATTTTTTCTGTAGATATGCGTTGCTAAATTGAGATGCTAGGCACAAACTGAGCCAAAGGACAGAGCTGTAGTGCTGCAGAAATGCCATATGTTTTGGATATTTGGACTGAAAAAAAAAAAATGTTTTAAGCAAGTTATTTCCATTATTATCTAATCATTTATTTAGCAGGGGCTTTGTGTTCTCTGTGCTCGGGTGATTTTTGTGATTTCTGTGTGCACTTGGATGTAAATGTTTGTTTACATTTTTTCATCGCTGGATTTCTGACCAATGAATCAAAGAGTTTGGACATCCAGGGGAAGTTTATTCCACCAGGGAGAAGAGTTTTGACGCATGTTTTCGGTAGATTAGCTTTCACACGCTAGGATAGCTTCTGCTAACATTTTTAGATTTCTCTGGCTAAGGTTGCGTTTGTTCATTTGGTCATCTTTTACTCATTAGTTAACTTACTGAATTACAGTTTTGATAAAAGCAGCATGGGACAGATGTGCAACATCAGTCAGGCAGAGGCTGTGATTACAGAAAATGCCTCCCTTGATGCATTGGGAAATGATAAGATCCATCTGAGCCACAGTATAACAAAAAGTACCACCTCACAGAGCAGAGGACAGCACTGCAGTCCTAACCATTATCCTCTGGATCTTCTCTATCACAAATATTTCCAAAAATGTAAAACACACAAAATCATAGAATGATGAGGAGGGATTAAAGCATTTCCTCCAATAAAGCCTTTCATCCTTGGAACAATGGGTGCGAGAATACACCCTGAATGAGCACTAGTCCATTACAGGGTACCATGCAAACACTAGTCCATTACAGGGTACCATGCAAACACTAGTCCATTACAGGGTACCATGCAAACACTAGTCCAT